AAGAGCTTTGGGTCCACGTGATTTTGTTTCCCTTACGCTAAGTGGCTCAAAACACCGTGGGATTCTTTCTCTTTTGAGGGTATTTGTTTGTACTCAGCTTATCGGCTTTACTCTGTTTTTGTCTCTCTCTCCAGTGTCCCTGGCAGTTGCCACTTCTCACTCCCTACAGCAGCCTCCCTCCCAACATCTAGTCTAGGAAATCAGCTGTGATGAGGGGCCCGGGGGCAGTCACAGAAGATGGAACTAAGGCACAGAGAGGCTACATAATTTGCCCGAGAAGATCAGCTTCAAGCCCCAACAGTGTGTGTCACGTCTCTCTGTTTAACTCTTATGCTAAACAAGTTACCTTTTTATAGATTACGGTTATAAACAGATGAGGTATCAAAATGACATACAAGGACACACATCAACTCTAAGGTGTTCATTAACTCCACTATGTTGCTTCTATTTATTTTATTTCTATTTAAAAAAATTAAGAACCTCTGCAGTCAATATAGCAAAATGTTAATGGGTTAAATCCAGAAGGCAGAGGCATGAGTGTCTTATTACTCATACTTTTTCATATGTTCACAAGACAAAATGATTTGAAAGTCTCTCTTCCCTCCCCCTACTCACTACTGACTCTCACCTGAGCTCCCAGACCACACATCTAACAGTCTTTCATTTTACCCACAGCTGAACTCATCACTTTTCCCCCAGAACTCCTTCTGCAGCTTTCCCTCCTAAGAGCACAGCATTTACCTCATTAATCCACCCAGAAACCTAGGCCTTACTCCATCCTACCCTCACAGATACCATTCATTCTTTCATTTTACCATCTAAATATGCCTTCAATCTGTTCGCTTTTTCCCACTGACCGTCCCACCGCTCAGGTGGAAGCCACCAACACTGCCCACCTGGACTCACGAGTCTCCCAAGTGGCCCCCCACCACTGTCCCCTACTTGAGACAAATAGGATTGTGTCCCTCCCGTGCTTTTAAGACCTTTCTTCTCAAACCCACTGTTCTTAGAAAAAACTCCAAGTTCTTCACCTGGTGAAGGTCTTTGCCATGAAACTGTCAGCTCAGGGAGGGCAGGACACGCCCTCTCCCCTCGGTCCGACCCTCTGGCACAGCGCCAGCTCGGGAGGACCTGCTGAGCTACACCAGCCTGTATTCTAATCCTGGTCTTGGGTTCTTAGCAAACTGCCTCACTTATCCATACAAATCCAAGGTAGATTAGAAAGATTTTAGATGTTGAGCTAGACTATTGATTTGGGGATTTTGCACTAGCAACCTGCAAGTATGTGTTCTAATGATTCTGTCTTCTTAAAACCACACCCAGATTTAAGTAGTATTTGTGGAATGCCTTCAGAGTAAAAGGAACTATACTTTCACAGACTTCATGTTTTATAACATGAACAACCCGGACAGGGTCACAAATGGAACCGCCTCGCAAGTCACAGAAGACAGGTGAGAGGAACAAAGCAACAGGTTGCAAAGCTGGTGCGAGCAAAGTTGTTTCTCCAACCCCCCAAAAAATCCTGAAAGAACCGAAAATCCTGAATTTTGAAAGTAAAAGACTATCATATAGGAAATAAAATAAATAACCCTCTTCATCAGGGTTTCAAGATCTGACTCCAGAGTTTATAGCAGGCCATACTGAATCCTAGCACAGAAAAATCAGATGGACTAGCGGTGAGTAAGTTCCAGGAAAACTGCAGTAATTCCTCCACTTGCAAGAGAACACACACTCACCTGTTGAAGGTGAATGGCAACCGCATTCTGGAGAAATTCGGAAGCTTCCAGGCTATGCTTCTGGATGGCAAGGACACAGACGGCTTAGATGTACGCTTCTAACTCAGTCACCGGCATTCTTACACTGCAGGGGGAAAAGGAGGCCCTCAGTCAAGAGCAGAGATGTTCCTGTCGTGTATCACAGGCCGTGCGTGCCTCAGGGACTCAGTGTCCTGCAGCAGCCCGGCCCCAGGCGAGGACCCGCAGCGTGGCCCACCCAAGCAGAAGGGGCACTGGTCTTGAGAAAGCCCATCCCCGATGGGGGCAAGAGGGGCTGGTGGGGTTGAGTGAACCTATAAATGCCCTGAGAAATAGGCCTGCATTCATTCAAGTGATACAACCAACAGTAGCAGGCTATTTTACACAACTTCAATTGTCAGTGGAAATTTTACCTTTCCTTTCCGCTTGTCCCCTGCACTCTGAGACAGGCTTGGGCTCTCTCACACCTGCAGCTCTGATGCAGTAGTTGTGAAGTCATTTTACTTTGCTGCGAAAGTCCTCACTCCCCATGTCACTGTGTCTGTCCTCTCTTAACACAGTTGGATGTCTTCCTGGATCTCTCCCTGAGTTCCTTGCTTCTGCTCCTCAGATCCTGAGATGAAGAACAAGTGAAGACACATGACCAGAAAAGTCACCATGGACTTGACCGAAGTCCTCAGTGACCCCCTGGGTGAGTGCTGCCCACCCCTTGCCTTCAGTTCTCAAGGATGTGCCCAAGGTGACATCCAGCCAGGAGAGGGCCCCGGCTAACTAAAAGCTATGTGGCTTGGGCGCGGGAACAGGTGCAGGAGCTGGATCCAGAGCCAGGCCCTCCCCACCCCTGCTGTTCTCGCCCCCAAGGCCCCATCGCAAAGCCCCGAGGCTCCCTGTTTTTCTGCCCTTCTCTTCTACTCCAAAAATCCTTTTCCTTTTTCCCCTAATTATCCCCAGCTGGAGTGATTTTTCAATCACAGTACCTGAAAAAATTTCCTGCAGCTGAGAAAGAGGTCTCCAGAGGTCAATGCCCATATGCTGGTGCCTGAAGAGAGCCCCTGGCTAGGGGGACCCTCACCAACACTAACGGGGCATCAGGCATGTTAGAGGGTCGACCACCCCCAACAAGAGTTTGCTGAGACCCCAAGGCCCCACACAGCATCCCTGCTCACAAAAACGCAGTCAGCCCACTTACCGGTTATTAAGACGCAAAAATGCAAAACTGCTCTTGTTTCTTACTGAAATTATTTATGAGGTAGAAAAAGAAATTGTAATAGGAAAGAACAAATCTGACTCCTGTCAGGTCTGCTCCTTTGGCTTTAACCCTGTGCTGTTTACTAGGCTTAGCCTTGCTGGTTCTGCACCTTTTGTAGAACAATGTTGCCTTTAGCCTGAAAGAGACAGGAGAGCCTATTCTCAAGGCTCTGACCTTTAAGGATATTGACACTTGTGCACTTAGATAAATGGATATTGACACTTGTGCACTTAGATAAATGTAGTAAGTTGCAGAATAGCAAATAACATTTCTTTCCTTGGAGGTTTTACTGGGGCACCATGACCTGACCCACAGGGACAGCTGCATGAACAAACAATTCCTACAGCAAGTTTATAACAACCAACCACACCCCCTCCCCTTTTTAATATAAAAGGACCCCTAATTCTGACTTGGAGAAAATGATTCTCCAGGACATCAGTCTGCCATCTTCTGGGTCTGCCAGCTTTCTAAATAAAGTCACTATTCCTTGCCCCAGCACCTCATCTCCTGATTTACTGGCCTGTCATGTGGCAAGCAAACCGTGCTTAGACTCGGTAACAAAATGACTGCATTGGAGGTAGTATGTCTTCACTGTTTCCTCGTTTCCAATATGTAACATGTACATCATCTATGATCTGGTGCAAATAATTCATCAAAGACAACCACAAAAAGAAACTATTCTTACTTAACTATCAACACTGAAGTCAAAAATCTTAATCAATTTTATATACTGTTTAACAACAAAACCAAAAAAACTAACACAGGGACTTGATTTCATGGAAATAAAATTATTTCTACTCCTTCAAAACTTTTTTTTCTATTGTTTTGTTTTGCTTATTGAAAGGAAAATAAAAGTCAAATAATTTTATTTCATGTACTTTGGTTTATAGCTACATATTTTAAATACTACAAAGAGATTTAAACTGCAATAAGAAAATTGTTCATATATTACTATAAAGATACATAATCAATGGGGATTAGGAAAGGAATGGACATTTACTAAAAACCCACTGCACACCCAGTCTTTTACAAGCATATCCTGGAATATAAGCTCTATGATCCAGGGGGCCCCACCCCCATTCTCACTGCCGAGTCCCTCAGTAATCAGCTACCCAGGCACCAGCACAGAACCATGCGATCAGCATTTTAATAATAAATGAGGGGATTGGCTCATTCAATTCTAAAACTCGGGTCCGCCTGATTCTAAACACTAAGGTGGGAATCCCATTCCACTGGGGAGGGTCCAGCAGCACAGCCTATGACCCTATCTTTGTTCAGATATAGCCTTAAGACAGCCTGAGACAGCACCTCATACCTATGGAACTTGAGGGCAAGTGATAATAGGAATTTTATATCCAGTAGTTTCTTAGGTCTCATTTATAAAGTGTCAGCAGGTCAGCAGAAAATCTCTGGGAAATATGAGTGGGTCCAGAGCTTTTTGCTGATTAGAAACTCAATCTATCAAGACAGAGTGACCTTCCCATGAGAGGCCACATGGACATAAACTAAAAGCAGTTGAGCAATGAAAACTAGCAAGACCCTGGAACTCAAGCAAGAAGGGCCCCTGCAATCACTTACCCAGTTGCCTCTTCATCCGTGTGGACATGATGACAGAAGACCCAGGTTCTAGTCCAAGTTACACCATCATGGATTCTCACCCATAAAAAGTTATGACCCTATGCTGTCTTAAGTTCCTTCCAACTCAAATATGATGACACCAATACGTCAGAATGTCTATATCTCGACTTCCTCTCTTCTACTAGGAGAATATTTCTTTGGCCACAGCAGAAATCCAATAAAAAACCACGCATGAAGCCAGGCAAAAGTCTGCTAAAGAGGCTTTGCTCTCACGCTCAGTGAATGAAAACTCAGAAAAGGTGGTCCTTCTCCCTCAGCAAGTGGGAGGTAGCCTGGGTGGGTGGGTGGGTGGGTGGGTGTGTGTGTGTGTGTGTAAATCAAATACAATCAAGATCAAGTCTGGGATGTGTACAGATATTGTTTATGCCACTGTCATTTCATGGGGTTGAGCCAACCTTAAAACCAATTTGAATCAAGTGTTCTGAGAAAGTCTCAGCTTCTTTTGGTGGAGGAGGTAGAAGGGGAAAGGAAAGGAGGAAAGAGGTAATTGAAGCAAAGGAATAAGAATACTGCTAGGGAAAGGCAAGACATTAATTTTGTTCCTATTTGCATCACATACAAATTAGGAACTGGCTTTCCCCCGATGTCCTGTCGAGCACTGAATTGCAGAAGAAACAAGAGCCCATTTCTTACTGAGCAGTACAAATGAGCCTGTCACTGTACGTGACATTTTATAGACACAAATCATTTACCTGATTAAACACTAGCAGCAGGCCGTAATTCCCCTATTTTGAGAGACAAGAAAACAGGAGTTCAAAGAGGCCATATAACCTGACAAAAGTCAGAGGATCAGTAAACAGGAGAGGATGGATTCAAACTCAGCTCCAGATGCAGAGTCTGCTCTTCCCACTCCCAGGCCTGGAAAGCCCTTAACACACAGGCTCCCCACTCCCCCGCTGTGCTCCTGCCATCGAGCATTTCCCATGGCGATCGTCTCCAGTTCTCACCGACAGGGTGCTCTGTGCAGCCATTGACCTTGATCAGGCTGGACCAGTGATGTGGCATCTGCCTGCCAAGCCCCCTGGGCTTCACCTTGAAGGCAGGAGAGCTGGCCTTCAAGTGCATTCAAAGCCAGCCCTGGTCTAACAACCTCTTTCAGGGCTTTTCCTGTCCAAAGGCAGCCACAAACCTGCTCAGTCTGTACAGAAGCCGCACCCCCTCTCTCCAGCTGTCTCCCCGTCTGTGCTACTTAGCTACGATCAGTTTGACCATCTTGGAACCAAATTTTTAAAAACAGAAAAGGGCTCTGGGTAAAGTACTTAATTAATACTTACAATTTTTAAATGACCAGTTACAAAATAAGTATTTACAAAACCAATCTGCCTTTCTATGTGTCAGTTTTAAGCAGTTAAAAAGTATTACAGCAAAAAATTCTCACTTACAAAATTAACAAAAACAAACAATGACCTGGAATAAATTCAAAAACAATGCCCATGTTCTAAATGGAGAAAACTACAGGACTGCACTGAGGGGTAAAATCAGAGGTTTCAATGTAGCGACAGCAACACACTGCTCGGAGGAGAGCAGTTCTGTAGAGATGTAAGTTCTCCTAAAAGTAATTCAAAACTTATTAAAAATTCCCATGACAACTCCAATCTGATTTTTTTTAACTTGAACAAAATATTTCAGAATTATTCAGGAATAATAAAGTCATAATACTAGCCAAGAAAATTTGGGATGGAAGAAAAAAGAAAGAGGAAAAAAGAATCACACTGTTACATATTAAATAAATGTTTATAATACGTAAGATACAGTGCTGGAGTAAGAAAGGATAGGTTGACAGGAGCCATGAGCTAAGAAAGAGGCTCTAGTACATGTAAGTACTTGGTACAGGTGGGAATGCAATTCAGAGAGAAAGTATGAATTTAATAAATTGTGCTGGGACACTCAAGAGAATCACCTGGAAAAGATACATTCTATTCCTACCATAATGACCACAAGATAAATTAGATAATGATGCAAGAATTAAAAAATACTAGTAGCAGCAAATATAGCTCTTTGCTCGTATTAACTCAACTTAACCTGTCACAAGTACTATTGTCATCTCCACTTTAGAGAATACAAAAGCCTACAGAAAAGTTTTCTTTTCCATTGTAAGAAGGTATTTCCAAGAATAAAGCCAAGGATAAAACCCATATGGAAAAGATTTACTGTATTAAGAATATTTTTGGCCACAACCAAAATGAGAAACCTCGTGACAAAATGAAAGGCAAGCAATGGCAAGAAAAAGCTCTGTGTGCATGTAAAACAATGAAGCTAGAACACTCCCTTACACCATACACAAAAATGAACTCAAGATGGATCAAAGACTTAAACATAAGACAAGATATAATAAACCTCCTAGAGAAAAATACAGGCAAAACATTATCTGACATACATCTCAAAAATTTTCTCCTAGAAGAAATAAAAGCAACAACAAACAAATGGGACCTAATGAAACTTACAAGCTTCTGCAGAGCAAAGGAAACCAGAAGTAAAACAAGAAGAAAACCTACGGAATGGGAGAAAATTTTTACAAATGAAAATGACAAAGGCTTGATCTCCAGAATATATAAGCAGCTCATACAACTCAATAAGAAGAAAATAAACAACCCAATACAAAAATGGGCAGAAGACCCAAACAAGCAATTCTCCAAGAAATACAAATGACCAATAGACACATGAAAAAATGCTCAGTATCACTAATTATCAGAGAAATGCAAATCAAAACTACAATGAGGTATCACCTCACACCAGTCAGAATGGCCATCATTCAAAAGTTCACAAATAACAAATGATGGAGAGGCTGTGGAGAAAAGGGAACCCTCCTACACTGCTGGTGGGAATGCAGGTTGGTACAGCCACTGTGGAAAACAGTATGGAGAGTCCTCAAAAGACTAGGAATAAATTTACCATACAACCCAGGAATCCCACTCCTGGGCTTATATCCAGAAGGAACCCTACTTCAGGATGACACCTGCACCCCAATGTTCATAGCAGCATTATTTACAACAGCCAAGACATGGAAACAGCCTAAATGTCCATCAACAGGTGACTGGATAAAGATGTGGTGTATTTATACAATGGAATACTACTCAGCCATAAAAACTGACAACATAACGCCATTTGCAGCAACATAGATGCTCCTGGAGAGTGTCATTCTAAGTGAAGCAAGCCAGAAAGAGAAAGAAAAATACCATATGAGATTGCTCATATGTGGAATCTAAAAAAAAAAAAGAAAAAAAAAGCATAAATACAGAACAGAAATAGACTCATAGACATAGAATACAGACTTGTGGTTGCCAAGGGGGTGGGGAGTGGCAAGAGATACACTGGGATTTCAAAATTGTAGAATAGATAAACAAGATATACTGTATAGCACAGGGAAATATATACAAGATCTTATGGTAGCTCACAGAGAAAGGAATGTGACAATGAATGTATATATGTTCATGTATAATTGAAAAATTGTGCTCTACACTGGAATTTGACACATTGTAAAGCGATTATAAATCAATAAAAAAAAGTAAAAAAAAAAGAAGAAAAAGCTCTGTGATGCATGTCGATGACAGACAAGAAGCTAATGTTCATAACATACAAAGAGCTGTCACAAAGCAACAAGATGCTCCCTCACCTAAATTTGTGCGAAGGACAAAAAGGACCACTCATTTTAAAAAAGGCAAATGGCTAACATGAGAAAAATGCTCAATACCTCAATGGTCATCAAATGCAAACTAAAACAATGAAAACGTACTTTTGCTCATCATACTGGCAAATATTTTAAATGGATCTACTATCTAGTGTCCATCTGTGGGAGAACAAGCTGTGAGCGACCTTTTTGGATGACACGTCAATGGCTATGCGAACTCTGAAAAACGTACATACACACTGACTCAACTCCACTTCTAGGAACTGTTTCCTTAAAAAAAAATCAGTCCAAAAAGATGTACCCATCAGGGCATTTACACAGCACTGTTTAAAATGGCAGGAAGAAAAGCTGAAGTGAAATTATATCCAGCGATAAGAGAATTGGTTACATAAGTAATTCTACATCTTTTCATTCCCCACTGGAGAAGGAATTTCTAGAGTCACTTGAAAGGAACCTGTGATGAGTGTAAATGTCACATCCAGGGACTAAATTTCCAGAAGCCTTAACTAAAGAAATACTCATACAAGATCACAGGAATGTCTATACAGAAGGATGTCCGTCAAATATCCTTTCTGACAGTGGAAAATGGAGAAAACCTAAGTGCCCACCATCAAGACAATGATGCGGTAAATCACGGCAAGCTGCGGGCTCTGAGAGAGCCGGCGTTTCGGCATGGTCCAGGGCCTTGTCCACAGCACTCTCCCACCAAAGGTGTCCGTGCACAAGAGGCCACACCCACACATCAGGAGACCCCTCCACTCTATCTGAAAGGACCGGGCAGGTCTGGAGTGGGAGGACGTCTTATGATATACACCTGAGTGAACAAAGCGAGCTGCAGAAAAACATATAGTATGGTCTCATCTTTCAATAAAACATATATACACACACGTATACATAGATTTCTCATATATATGTGTATATATGCATTTGTCATGGGCATAAAGGTCATGGAATACATACACCACATTGTCAACAACTTTTATCTCAGGAAGTAAGGGGAGGATGAGGTAGGGGCCTTTCATTTTTCCCTTGATACCGCTCTTCTGTACCACTGCAGTTCTCTTTGCAGTATTTCAGCTAAGTATACTTGGAATTTAAAAATTTATTTAACTCTTAAGTAAAAAGAATGATGCCTCCACAAGACAGAATGCTATACTGGTCATTAAAAATCATGCCGGGGAGACTAAATATCATAGAAAAACACGTAACAAGCCAAATGGAACTGGAGGTCTCCACACAGTAAACAGGCACAGAGTCCTTGCTGGTTTTTATGACAGAGGTGATACACACTGAGGAAAAGAACCAAAGATAAACGTTAAAATGTTGATTATTATCTCTGAGTAGCGGGGCCAGGATAGCCTCTTTTGCCCCCTTTTTCAGACTTATTAAATACACATTACTTTTCATCTGAAAAAAGCATTTTTAGGTGTGTAGTACCACGCATTGGAGGATAATACATGAGTACTCACAGAAACAAGTCACTAGGAGACACCGCAGCAGCGTCACACAACGGGCGATCCTGATTAACACCGCGCAGTCACATAAGGACCCACAAAGTGAGGGCACCTGCTGTCACAGGGCATGGTCCCCTTCTATTTGTCAGTTGTGTCTTCAGGGCTGAGGCAGTTCTGAGCACGGCCAGTGTCAGTGCTGGTGTCTGGATGGATGCCACGGGAGGTGAGGGCACCTGCAAGCCGAGAGGAAGAACAGAAATCATCCTCTGCTTTTTCTGTCTTTTTCTTTGTTACTTTAAAAGAGAGGCACAAATAAGATAAACTGTGTATCTTCCCTACTGAAATTTCAGTAATAAAACCGTTTTTAAAGTCTTCACAGCTTATTTTCTGCCTATAACTGTCTTTTCAACAAAGCATCATATTCATTAAATGTTAATCAACTCAGTTAATTAACTCCCGGTTGAAACTTTCTATTAAAGAACATGAAATGCACTACGTGAAAGCACCACGCCTGCAGTGACTAGCTCAGCTGTCTTGACAGCAGTGCAGTCAGCCCGCACCATCCCGTGGCCCTGAGCTCCTGATGCTGGTAAGAGAGCACGGTGCCGCCTCAGATGGAGAGAAACTGTGAAAGCATTTTCTGAAATCTACAGCACTGACAAAACATGACTGACAAATCCCAGGCTCCTTGGAGGCTGTCATTTTCTGTTTCTGGCCAACACCCGTCAATGAGCAGAACCACCCCATTCCCGAGCCATGGGACTCACGTGGAAAGCAGTTTTGGAGAAATTTCCAGGTATAGAATGTAACCAACTATACGCAGAACTCTGACAAAAGAAAAGATGAAATACTCTGATTTTGGAAGACACTCAAAATTTTCTCCTAAGCCTTAGTAGCGGGAAAGGCTGGGCTTCTCCTAAGCCACTTATTTATTTCACAGCCAGTGAGTATCTCCCACAAACCCTGCTTCCCTGTGTCTGCTGGGAGCCTCAGGCACACTCTTGCTGTCGATCTTATAAGTCACAGGGCAGAGGCATTTGTCTCACACCTGCAACCCTCACACAGGCTCGCCTCCTAGCCTCACCATCTGAACTTGACCCCATTTTCTCACCTGCTTATTTGGTATCTGTTATTCTGTAAGCTGACTGGAATGCTTTTTGGAACAAGTCACAAGAATGAGTGGGTAGAGAAATGGACAGATGGACAGGTGAGAAATGGGCAGAGAGACGGTGACTCCAAGAAAAGGGGAACAAAGAAAATTTCCCATGCAAAACCCTCCTCTAGTCAGGGTAGAAAACCACCAC